CGCTGTGAATTTGAGACCAGCCTTGGCTACATAGTGAGTTCAAGGTCAGCTTGAACTGCCTAGCAAGACCCTGTCTCAGAAACAAAAAAGTATTATTTTATAACTTAATTTAGGGGCCAGGGAGATGGCTCAGTAGAATAAGCACTTCCCTGGCAAGCGCAAGGGTTTGAGTTCAATCCCCGGTTCAAAAAAAAAAAAAAAACCTAAAAGACTTAACTTAGTTGGGTATAGTGACAGATGACTGTAATACCACACTGGGAACAATGAGGCAGGAGGATCACTGCAAGTTTCAAAGCCAGCCTGAACTACACAGTGAAACTCTGTCTCAAGAAAAAACTGATGGACAATACACTACTACTTTTACAGTAATGAATGAAATTTTGTTTTTGGTTTTTTGAGTGAGAGTCTTGCTTTAAATACGGAATCTTTCTGTCTCAGCCTCCCAAATGCTGGCGTTACAGGCATGTTCCACCATAGCTGAGTGAAAATTTTTATAATGAAGTATTCATCTATTAACCAGCTAGGCAAATTCTACTGGCTATGTTTGTTTTGGTGCTAAAGAATTAAACCCAGGGTCTCATGAATGCTAAGGACATGGTCTACTAGTAGACTATTCCCTCAGTCTCATAAGCTGGTTTTTCCTATTAAAAAATACAAAAGAATCTCAAAGGTGATCTTTACAGAGGATCAGTCCCAGAGAGCATCTTTTTCAGACTCCTCATTAGTGGTACAAAGACCCAGACATCATATATAGGACTTGACCACACAAAAGAAGTTAAAGATAAATCTATGGTCCCAGTGACCTCTAGTAAGATGATATTTGTTGCTGCTGTTTGATTTCTGGGGTTACCCTAGAGAAGGATAATATTTTTATCAATGTAACATGTTCATATTTTTAAAACTAAATCAATTTAATACTTAAAAAGTATTAAAAGTATTTTAGTACTTAAACAGTAGCAGTCTCTTGTACTTCTACCTCCATCTCTGAATTCTAGTAAGAGAATGACGTTCAACTTTAAACATCATTATTATTCTACTGTTTAATAGAATGCTTATTTTCTGTGTGATACTTTTCCAGTGCACATATCTTGAGTGTGTTACAGGAGTCCATTTCAACTTGAAGTCATTTAAATACAGGCATTCCTTATCTAACCACTAGTTCTGTTCCTGCATCTAGATTGTTAAGTGAATTGGTCACTAAAATGAGGAACTATATATAGAATTACAATATTCAGAACAAAGAAATGGTCAAAGGAAACTCCAACTTGATAACTTTGCTTTTATTTTCATACCTCTTAATGCAGCACTGTAATGTATAATACAACATAAAATGATAGCACTGACCTATATAGTACAATCAGCAAAAATTATAATACTGCACTTTAGAACAAGCTACCATAAGGACACACTGCATTCCTGTGCTGTAAGTCCAAATGCAGGTTGCAAGTGAGAACAGTGGGTGGTAAATCCAAATAGCATGCCTTGGTCATAAGTCCATCAGTCATTAAACAAGTAGGTCGTTAAAAGGACTATCGGTAGTACGCAATTTTCATTTAAAAGATACAGATGGCATAATACTAGAGATAGTACTAGTAATCTTGTTGCCACATATAAAATACCTAACTTCAAGCTCTACTAGTAATAGTGATAAAATGGCATGATAAAGGAACAAAAACAGACACAGGGATCCATTGAATAGAACAGAAGATACAGAAACATCCCTACACACATTCAGTTATTTGATCTTTGACAAAGGGATTAAAAGCATATTGGAAGAAAGATGGCCTTTTCAACAAGTGATGCCCAGGAAAATTGGTCATCTGTTGGTAAAAAACTGAAACTAGACCCTTATCTCTTACCATTTACTAAATTAAAATCAAAATGGATCAAAGAGGGCTGGGGACACAGCTCAGGGACATAAGTTCCTCCCCGGTAAGTGCAAGGTCACGAGTTCAATCCCTGATACCACATGCCATGCCAGCCCTGGAACTGGGCATAGTGGCCACACACCTATAGTCCCAGCACTAGGGAGGCTGAGACAAGAAGATCACTATGAGTCTGAACTGCATAGCAAGACCTTGTCCCCCTAAACAATAAATAAATAAATAGCCATAAAAATGGATCAAAGATCTAAACATTAAAACAGAAACATTACAATTAACCACTAGGAAGAATGTATGCAATGCGTTAATTATTGAAACTGTCCTACCAATTTGGTTTGAAACTGTCTCATTGCTATTTGTTTCTCAAAAAAATTATGGAAAAAAAAAAGAAACATTAAACCTATTGGACCTGGGGGACAACCCGCTTGGGCCCCCCTCCTGTTCCTCTCTTGGACAGGAGCTTTCTTTCCCTCAATAAATATATTCTGCTCATAAAAAAAACCTACTGAAAATAAAATAGATAAAACACTTGAAGATGTAAGTGCAGGAATGAATTTTCTAAACAGGGCCTTAACTACACAAGAATCAAGAATCGGGATTATATAAGATCAAAAATCTTGTGTGTAGCAAAAGAATCAATCAATACAGTGAAGAGAATACATAAAGAATGGGAAAAAAATTTTTCCAGCTACTCCTCAGATAGATGACTAATATCTAGAATGTATAAAGAGCTAAAAAAAAAAATTAAGCCAACTAAAATTAAAGATCCAGTCAAGAAATGGGCAAGAGAAATGAACAGACACTTCACAGAGGATGACATACATATGAAAACCATTAAACATCTCTGGCCATTAGAGAGATACAAATTAAAACAATGCTAAGATTCCATCTTACTCTGGAAAGAATAGCAATCATTAAAAAAAAAAAAAGCAAACACTGGTGAGGTGGTGGTGAAAAAGAAACTCTCTTTCATGTTGGTCAGAATGTAAACTAAAATAATCATTACAGAAATTAGTATGGACATTTCTCAAAGAACAAAAATTAGAAATTCCATAAGACCCAGCTATCGTCCTGCTATGTGTCTTCCCCCAACAGCTTAACATGTCATACTCTAGCAATATATCCATGCCAATGTAATGGCTAAATCCTAGGAGCAATCTTTATAGCCATCAACAGATGACTGTATAAAGAAAATATGCTATCTGTTTATAAGGAAATATTGCTTGGCTGTAAAGAATGACATGTCCGAGACTTCTGTAGGAAAATGGATGCGCCTAGAAAATATAATGTCAAATGAAAAAAATCAGAACACACAAACTAAAATATCATTTGGTGCTCTCATTTGAGTGAGGCAAAGCACAAAGAGAATAATAAAGGATGGATAAAAGGGGACAAGTGGCATAAGCACCTGCCTGGCAAGTGCAATGTCCTTAGTTCGATCTACTGTACCAAAAAAAAAAAAAAACAAATATCTGGAAAGGGGACAAGGGGACAGATCCTGTGCAACAGGAAAGTGGTCCAAGGGAACAAGGGGAAAGAGCAGGGGGAATAAATAGAAAAGAGGTAAGCCATGTACGGGAACCTAATAACCTCAATGAGTGAGAACTTTATAACAATAACATGAGCTAAGATTAATAACATCAATAAGAATAAAAGTTAGTGGGCCAATGAGATAGCTCAGCAGTCTAAAGGGCCTGCTTAGACAAGCTTAGGCAGGTGCAGGGGACTGCAGATCAATCCCCAGCACCACATGCCTTGCCATCCCCACCTTCATGAGCTGGCCAAAAAAAAAATAATAAGGTAAATAATTTTTTTTTAAACCAAAAGAATAAAAATTGGGATGTGGAATTAGAGGAGGTAGGGCGGGAAGAGGAAAGAGAGGGGATTCTAAACAGGAAACAAACTATATTATTATGTATGTGTACCCACTCCCCAAGATGACTGTGAACTACTTCTGCTGCAAATGGGTATTAAAAGGCTTTTTTTTTTTTTTTTTTTTTTTGCGGAACCGGGAATTGCACTCAGGCCCTTGTGCTTGTCAGGGAAGTGTTTATTCTACTGAGCCATCTCCCTGGCTCCAAAAATTTTGAAAAGTTTAAAAAAAGTTAAGACAGACCAGGCATAGAGGTACACGCCTGTAATCCCAGTGCTGGGGAAGCTGAAATAGGAGGATCACTACGAGTCTGATCTTTGCAGTGAGATTCTGTACCAAAAAAAAAAAAAACCAGACTTAAACAGTGAAACTGATTTTCATGTGTGATTTATGGTGTCTCTCTTTTTAAAAAAAAATTTAGAGCTAAGTATTGCTTATAAGGAAATTATATATCTTCACAGAAGATAAAGTCTGAATTTTATATTTTGCATATTTTTTCTTGAGTTGCAAAAGTATAAGAGGTTGAACTAAAAAATATTCCTAAGTTATTAACATTTTAACTGAAAGAAATAAAAATGTTTTATGAATAATAAAATATGTATTATGAATAAGTGCATGAAGAAACAATGATTTTCATGTTGGTAGAATATCGAATATACCACCAGATACCTTCTGCATTTGTTTTGTTATTGTTGTTTTTGTTATATATTTGGTTTAGGGTCTCACTATGCAATTCAGACTTGTAATCTGATTACAGGTGTTTGCCACCATACTGGGTCTTGGTGGGCAGCTTAGTGTGCATGTGGCGGGGCTGGCATGACATGAGGTACTAGTGATCAAACCCTGGTCCCTGCACTTGCCAAGCAGGTGTTTAGTCCGCTGAGCTATCTCACAGGCCACCCTTGGCATTTGAAGTGATGCCTATTTTAGCCATTTCAGTGTTTACTTTGCAAACTGAAATTCTTATGCTGGAAATAACCAAAGAATTGAATACTATTAAATACTTTTTATGATAACTACTATTAAAACCACTGAGTATTTTAGTTCTGTTTTCTTTAAGAAAGTACCAAATAAGAAAACATTCTAATTCACCTGGACTCCACTGGATCTTTAGGAAAATGGTTACTCTAAAATGTAGTAAGCAAAAAAGCTACTGATAGGTACATCTTGAAGAAATTTCCCCCAACTTAAAATTACTCACATATCAGTCCCCGGCATACTGTAATATAAGACCAGTTACTCACATGTGAGAGAAAACTCGCCGTAGACTGGGAAGATGGGATATTAGATTGGGCACGGGTGACAGAGGCTGGTTGGAGCAGGCGTGGTTTCATTGAAGAATTTGAGGTGTATCCAGGGCCCTGAAGCTCCTGGAACACAAAGCAAGTATAAGCAAAATAACATCAACCCACAACTACAAAGAGTTGTGAAATTAAAATGCACTTTTAATTTTCCAGTACCAAGAATTTAAAACACGTTTGCATCCTGGCATGGTGGTGTACACCTCTAAACCTACACTCAGGAGGCTGAGGCAGGAGGATCCCTGTGAGCTTGAGGCCAGCCTGGGCCAGTTTGAACTATACTGTGAGACCCTGATTCAAACACAATAACAACCACAACAAACATGTTTGTAACTTTACAGTATTGAAAAAAGATACGTATTTCAGGGCACTGCAGTTTTAAAAAACACATCCTTCTTATAGATTACATCAGTTTTGCTACTCCTCAAAGAAGCCAAACATCCCAGCTCTCTGAGCCTTTGCACTTGCTTAACACATATGTGCTGAAAACACTTCCATGAGGTGACCCCTGGGTAGGTACTTGTGAAATTTGTTCATTTGTTTATTATCAACTGAGAATAAAGTCCGGTGCTTCATTTTATTATCACATGAAAATTACTGGAAGAGTGTGTAACAATGATTATAGGGATTTTATAACTGCTAATATCAGGTAATATTGCAAATACATTTAAATATATGTAAAGTATATAAAGAAAATATAAAAGTATATCAGGCAAAAAAGCATTATCTCTGCTTAAATTACTATTTATGATGGGAAAAATCTTACTTTTACATCCAAAGTGTGCTGAAGTTTCAGGCGTACAGATTCCTGCTCCTGACGCTGTATTATATCTTGACATTCTGCAAACTGCAAAGATGCCTACAATCAAGCAACCACAAGTGGTTTATCCTCTATTCTTTTTTAAATAGTTTTAGTTATTTTTTTATCTTCCATTCTTTATGCGCTTTTGTGTAATAGACCTTCAGTGTAGAGCTGCCATCTCTTCCAGGAAGCCAACCTCCCAGCCCTGGTATACACTACATTCGAAGGATTTGCAGTCTTTCACCTGAACTTTCTGGACCCCACCAGGGGCTAGACATTAGTACACATTTATTATTTTACTGACATTAAAAAGGGACCTGCTGCCTACATCACTCTTCAGTGATAAATGCCTCACGGAGGCATTTTTACTTACTTGGGCCACTGCTGCTATGACTGTTAACCTAGAAAAGGTAACTTATTAAACAGTGTGCAATAAGACTGTTTCAAAGACAGAAGAGCCTCCTCTAGATGGCAGAGTTCGTCCTTGTATGAGGTGACTGGGACATGATACAGGTAGACAGGTTCAATCCTACCTACACAGAGCTTTCATTCGAGTAATGCTGTTAAGGCTGAGGTTTAAAAGGCCTCCCCTGAAGACTCATGTTTGGAAGTGGGGCTGGGTGGAGGTGGGTCACTGGGGTTGTGACCTGGGTGGGGGTCCTCTTGTCCCTGGCTCCCCCCTTCTATGCTTCCTGGCTGCCACGAGGTGAGCAGCCTTCCTTCACCATGCTGTCCATTGTGCCATCTCTGCCTGAAGCCAGCCAGCCATGGGGTGAAACTGTGAGCCAAAAATGGTGAATCTCTGCTCCTTTAAACCGTGGGTGTAGGATATTTTGTTCTGGTGACAGAAAAGTGACTAATATAAATTCTCTCCAGTTGATAACTATTTGGATGATAATTACCTGACTTATGTGGTTAATAACTACCTTATCAAGAGCAACTTCCATGTTTGCAACCTTTTCTTTCAAGCGGCGTTCCTGAGAGCGCAGAACGTCCAGCTCCCCTGCCATCTTGTTTTTTTCTGTTGCAACAGAGCTCAGTTCCTGGCTGAGTTTATTCTTCTCTTCTTTCAGAAAATGTTTCTCCTATAATTATAAAAGAGAAAAAAAAAGAAATAATTTGCTGATATAGATAATGAGAGGCATGAAAAATAAAACTTTTATTAAATGATCCTACATTAGAAACATTTAACTCATATGCCATTTACTCTGAGCAGAAGCTGGGGGTTGCCAGAAATGTGTTATTATATATTCTCTATTTTCATCACTACTTGTACTATCATTAGGTTTTTTTGTTTGTTTTGTTTTGGTTGCTATTACTTTGAACTGTGGATTTAATAATCCTTCTGACTAATCTACATCTTCAATCTTTTGTTTTTTTAAATTTTGAGACAGGCTCTTGCTAAGTCAGTAACTTGCCCAGACTGGGCTCTAACTTATAATTTTCCTGACTCAACATCCAAAAGTGCTGGAATTACTGGCATGTGCCACTATATGTAGTTAATTACTTTTCAGGTTAAATCTTTTGATGAACTTTACAAAATATAAAATAACTATGTATAACATAAAAGAGACAGTATTTTGGCATTGAATAAGCACTACTAAATTGGTATTGCAGTTAAGTAGTCATGTACCAAATTTTACTGAAATTTATTTTACTTGTATTTTTATTTTTTTGGCAGTACCAGGGGTTGAACTCAGGCCTTTGCACTTGCCAGGGAGGTGCTTATTCCACTGAGCCATCTCCCTGGCCCCTGAAATTTATTTTAAATAAGAGATTTAAAAACTAATTAATATATTTGAAACTTTTATAGTTTTCAATGTCTTTTGCTTCCTGCATTAGATTGATTCCTAGGCATGTCATTTTTTTGGATGCTATTGTGAAAGGTGTTGTTTCCCTAATTTTTCCCTCAGTGAGTTTGTTATTCATGTACAGGAAGGTATTGATTTTTGAGTGTTGACTTTTTATACAACTATTGCTACTGAACTTGCTTAATAAATCTACAAGTCTTTTGGTGAAGTTTTTGGGATCTTCCATATAGAATATCATGCTGTCTGTGAATAGTAGTAATTTAACTTCCTCCTTTCCTGCTGTTATTCCTCTAGTTTATTTCCAAGATATTAATTTTAAAAATATACATTGTAGATTCTGTGACATAACAACAAATGAGACAGAGTTCCTGCCTGCAAGTCACCTAACAGGACAATGGTAAAAATAAACTTACTAATAAAATGGTTTTAAGAATTAAACAAAATTTCTAAAATGAATTTGTTTCTGTAAAAAAGGCACTATGGAACAGATAAAGGTAAAATATAGCATCAGTTTCTTGAGTCTATATTTCTTTGAGCTGCCATATTTTTCCATGGTGAAAAGAGTTCAAAAGAATTAAGATAGGTATTGCCAATGAATACACATTTCTACCAAACAATTTTTCCTCTGATTAGGCTCATCAGAATATGGTTTGGAAGGGCCAACCAAATAGCTCAGTGGATTAAAGTGCCTGCATAGGCGCAGGGGCCGGGAGTTTGATCCCCAGACACTCCTGGGGTACGCTGATCAATTGAGACTGGGTGTGGCAGTGCACACCTGTAATCCCAGCTGTTGGGAGGCTGTAAACAGGAGAATCACTAGGAGTCTGATCTAGTAGTGAGCCCCTGAACACCCTGTAGACCCTTCCCTAAACTACAGAAAAAAAAAAGAAAGAAAAAAAAAAAAAAGAATGTGGTTTGGAAAGAAAGGCAGACTAATTATAGTGGCCTCCTCCCCTCATTTTTTTTGAGAGAATGTCATGAATTATGTTAAATACTTTCCTTTTTAGGGAGTCAGGCATCTTGGTTTGCTATGGTTTGTGTGTAGTTATTCCCCCCAAGGCCTCATGCAGTCAGGGGGCAGCTTCTAGAGTTTATGATTGACTCTTGATCTAGAGCTGTAATTGTGGGTGTGGGTGCTGCACCCATCCTGGGGCAGGTAATCTGCATTAACAATGTAAGGAGAGGAGAGAGGCTTGCTAGAAGCCTGGGTGCTGTCCCTCACTTTGCTCTTAGCTGTTTTCCTGGCTTCCATGTACTGCTGCCCTCTGTGAGGTGCCACTCTGCCTTGGAGCCAGCTGAGTATGGACTGAAACCTCCACTAACTGTGAACTAAATAAACCTTTTCTTCCTTAATTTGGGGTGTCAGGTATTTTGTCCCAGCAGTGAGGAAAAAGTAACTGAGACATGGTTGGAAACATATGGTCATACTTATAGCCCTAAGTACCAGCAGGGAAGATAAGCAGTGCTTTAGTTTCCCAAGGCAAATTAGAAGAGAAAGAATAAGTTCAAGAAAAAAGGAAAAGAAGGGAGGAGAAAAGGAAATAAGAGAAAAAGAGGAGCAAGCAGGTTCACATGATGACTGCACAAATGTGCGTATGTACAACATTTGTTAATACTTAGCTATATTCTGGCAGTACCTCGTGGGTAATGATTACTTTAGCTGCACTTACTATTTTCTCCTTTCTCACCTTCATTATGGTCAATTCTTTAGTAGATATCTTGAAAATGTTATTTTGATTCAAAGTGATTGGTGTTAGAGAACACTGAGTGTAGCACAAATTTCACGTCTCCCTATACACCATCAGAATACCAATTTTCTTCAGGAGAACACAGACTAAATGCAGAAAGTGCGCCTGACTACACAGACCTACATAGGTGTACATGAAAAGCCTACATACATGCACACACTTTACACACTTCCCTGTCACATGCCTCAGTTTAGCTCAAGTTATGAGCCGTATCTATCATATCTAGTGTTCTAGAAAACCTTCCTTTCACTCTTCATAGTAATATACAAGGTATAATTCTTCATGGATATTTTCTTTTCCTTTCTTTTTTCTCTTTCCTTCCTTTCTTTCTTTCTTTCTTTCTTTCTTTCTTTCTTTCTTTCTTTCTTTCTTTCTTTCTTTCTTTCTTTCTTTCTTTCTTTCTTTCTTTTTTTGTGTGTGGCCAGCTCAGTCTGCTCATAGGGGTAGGGCTGATGCAGCATGTGGTGCCAGGGATCCGAACCATAGTCCCTGCACTGGCCTAAGCTTGCCTAAGCAAGTGCTTTAGACTGCTGAGCTATCTTACCAGCCCTTCATGGATATTTTCACAGCACACTTTTGATTGTTTTCAAGATAAAGTTTTGCACCTATGATAATATGTCTTAAGTATTTCACATGTATAAGGCTGTGCGACAACTTCAACTAGGCTTCTCCTTTTCTCTGTCCCAGATAAAATTTGTGTGAGTCTTGTGTTGCTTCCACAAACTCTGTAGTTTTAACTGAAACAGCACAGTGGATTTGAGAAACACACATGTCACAGTGTAACAGAACTGCATGACTGGATACACATCATTTATAATTATTCCATCCTCCTCTATCAGGCATGCCCTTTGACCATTTCCTGAAGTTAAAACTCTAGCTGTCCTGCTGTAGTCTTCCTCCAGGAACTCTGCCTTGTTCTCTAAATGAGCTTTCCTTTCCCCGCCTACCCTCTGTTTTTCTGCTGTGTCCTCTTCTGTCCTGTGGTATATTAATAAGCAAACATTCTGGTATTCCCCAATGTGGGACAGGGGGCCTACCTTATTTGCATTTGTCATGGCCTCTTCCAAAAACTGGATCTTGCTCTGAAGGGCATCTATCTGACCTCTTTTGGCTGTGATTTGCTTTTGCATACCCATTGCAACTTTCATAGCTGGGGTGGGGGGAGAAAAAAAACCACTATGCTTTAGTTAGTTAGTATGCATGCATGTATGTATGTATGTATATGTGTATGTATGTGTGTAAGTATGTATTTTGAGACAGTGTCTCACTATGTAGTCCAGGTTGACCTTGAGTCCCTATGTAGACCAGCTAGCCTCAAACCCTCAGTGATCCTCCCACCTCAATCTTCCAAGTGCTGGGATTATAGGCATGGGCCTCCATGCCTAACTGTGCTTTAGTTTTTAACATTTATAAAGTTTAAAATGTTAAAGTTTTTAACATTTATAAAGCACTAAGATTTGTCCTGTGCTTTGCTACTATCATTTATAGGAAGATAACAAGTAAGATTCTTCAGTGCACTTGGGTATTTTCAAGAGACAAAAGCCTTCTGGATTCACAATATTGGAATATAACAATTTTTAGCAATGACTCAGAGCTTCTGAGTTGGAAATATTTATGCCTTGTGGGGATTTTTGCTATGAGAATTAATTTTATTGACCATTGTAAGTTGCCATATTTCCAATGGTAACAATAATGCTGACCAAATTCATATGTATAGGACATGGATATATAAAAATAGCTAGGGATATAAGGAATATAAATATTTAGTATTGCTAAAATGCTTTTCTCAGAAACTGCTATTTAAAATACCATGAGACCTACTATTGGTGATCCTTTTAAAGATTCCAGTGACACCACAAACATTTCATTTTCACTCTCACAGTTAGTGTCACATGCTTACAACCCTCTTCAGTCTCAGTGGCTGAACTGCCACCAGAAGCATGAGCACTCCTTTTGGAAAATAGTGACAGGATGAGAAGGTTCTGTATGGGTACAAGGCACAGAAGACTCATGACAACACAGGCCACTGCAAATGACATATGAAGCTTATCTTTGCCTAGGAATTCACTCCGAAGATCCTATGGTTTTCTTTAATGTCAGCTGAGGAAAGAGGTTTGTTTGTAAATACCACAGCTTTGCAGTGGGTCTGGTTATAGCTTACACATTAAAAAGAAAATGCACCATTCATTAGAAACAAACTACTAGCCAGGTGTGGTGGTGGAAGCCTATTATCTTAGCCTTTGGGAGGCTAAGGCAGGAGGATCACTGTGAGTTCAAAGTCACCCTAAAGCACACAAGACTCTGTCTCAAGAATATAAAACAAGGGGTCTGGGGAGATCGCTCAGTGGAATAAGGGCTTCCCTGGCAAATGCAAGGGCCTGAGTTCAATCCCCGGTTCTGCCAAAAAATAAATAAATAAATAAATAAATAAATAAAACAAAATTTTAAATACCCAAACAAAAAACTATCAGAGAGAATGAAAGGTCTGACTTCTCATTAGTAAAGCATAGTTTTTATATTCAATCTGTTAAAAAAAAAAACCAACCAAAAATAAGGTTAATAAAGGCACCATACATAGATTTATTAATAAATCCAAAGTCCAACATTTACTCACCACTTGGAAGAATTCTGGTCTGAGTAAGTGGATCGTGGCTGGCCCTAATTATCTCACACAAATCTTTTTAGTTTAAGATGAATTGTGGAGGGAGCAGCACTAGGGATTGAGCCCAGGGCCATTGTAGTGACTACAACTCCAGTGCTTCCTAATTTTTTATTTTCGGCCAGGGTCTCCCTAAGTCACTAAGTTGTCTGCGCTGAGCTTGGACTTTTGATCCCCCCTGGTGAAACCTCCCATGGTTCTGGGATTATGGGATATTTAAACTGAGTTTAATCACTGAAAATAAGTGTTGGACTGCAAAATACAGGGATTATAGGTAACTTGATAGTTGTAGTGGGGACTCTGTGGCCATGGAGATGCATGAGGGTATTGAGACAGGAATGCTCCCTGGAGATGGGGGTACAGAACTGAAACTAGAATGGACCTTTTAGGCAAGCTCCCTAAATGCCATCATTTTGTCTGTGTTAACTAACAAAACCCAACTACCAAGCCCAATACAAAGTATGAGCAGTTTAGAATGTGTGCATCCCTCTTGCACTGGGACTACAGTGATCATTCAAATTTTAGTGCATGTTCTACCAAAACACGTAGGAGTCATTTAACACTAAAAATGCCAAGAAATATAAAATATTTACTTCAGTCTTTTTTTTTCCTTGTTTTGAGTGCTGAGGATTGAAACTGGGGCTTTGTGAATGTTATGCAAGTGCTCAACCATTAATCTACACCTCAGCTCTGAAAACCATATACTTTAATTTGGTAAATATTCTTAAGGAAACAAGGAAATCATAACTAAAAAATGTAGTTTTAAGAAAACTATAGCTTCCAGGATTTATCTGGTCACACAAGACAGCCCCATGCTAACATTCCCGGGCTAGATGTATACCTCTTTCCTACCAGATGCACCAGCCAAAGACCAAATGGGCTCAATTAAGGAAGTAAGGAATAGGATCCTGCCTCTGTGATAAGGACAGCCCCGCTGTCAACAGACCTTGGCCAGATTTATACACCTCTACTAAACCCATCACTAGAAGCCCATAAATTGGTCCAATTTAGAAAGTAAACAACAAGTTGAGCAAAGTCAGAAAATGTTTGAGTCACCTATTAAAAAAAAAATCTGTGCCTGCAAATGGGCTGGCACCCTTTTGAGGGAGAAGGGGGATGGATGGGCACTTTTATCCCCAGCTTTTCACTACCTTGAAAAAAGTATAAATGTGTCCAGTCTCAAACTATAATGGGCCTCATTTCCTTGTAGGCTACACTCATCTTAAGGGTGTGTCATATAATTTCTGCCTTTGCCTGAGAAACACTACTTGTGCCTCTTTCTGACACATCTTGAAAATTATTTTTTTTGTGTGTGATAGAAGTCAGTGAGCCTGCCACAGCAGGGTGAGGCAGGTTTAGGGAGCTCTCAGACCCAGCCCAGTAACATGCTAACATAGTCATACCACAATGACAGGGACAACCGGAATGGTCAGAGCACCACATCTCTCTATGGCTGTGAGATCATGAATATCATTAAAATAATGCTTATCTGGGCCAGTGTGGGCAGCAAGAGAAAGAAGGAACACATCCAGGTGATGACAAGGTACACCTTATACTGTAGTTCCATTACCAGGGCTCTTTCCTACTTTTGTCACAGTAAAAAAAGCCAGGAACTGCTAGTTTGCCATAAACCTATAGTTAATGTAGATAATGCATATGAGAAAAACAGGAGGCTGGATGGAGATTATCAAAGACTTGTATTTATACCTTAAAAATAATTGGTTGGGGGAAACCCACTTTCTGGGCCCCATTCTGTCCCTCTCAGACAGAAGCTTCTCTCAGTAAATTCTTCCTGGTCTTAAAAAAATTGGTTGACTTTTACATATGCTGGAATTTGTTAAAAGTATTGAAATAGCCACAGAAGAAAATAAAGATTCAGATACTTCATGGATTTTATATACATTAGGGTTTAAATTAAACATTTTCCTTAAAAACAAAGTAGAACTACTGCTACCTGACAAGCACCACCAGTGTCTACGCAGTGCACTGCTCCCAGCAGCTGGCACTGTAAAAGGCAGTACATTCTGTATTTTAATAAATCAGGGCCAATGAAGTTAAAAACAGAAGAGAAAGGAAACAGCATACCATGACCATCAGATCCTTCCATTGACTTTAGGGTATTCCTTGTTTGTTCTAGTTCAGACTGTGCAGATTTTAATTGCATTTTCAGCTTATTTGTAGTAGTTTCCATTTCTTCACTCTTGTTTCGAAAATTCCTTTTTAAAACTTCATAATCCTCTACGTAAAATAATTTGATGGTTACTTTTTTCTATCTTTTTTCTATCTCTGATATGAAATATTTTGTGAGTAACAATCACAGAATGCTAGAGGCTGGAAGAAAACTCATTTGGCTATGACTCCATTTATTACATAATGAGATGGACATAAACATTTCCAGGGGTCTGCAGGACTCTCTCATCTGCCTGAGTGGATCATCTTCCTGATCTCATTCATCATTTATTGCTGGTCCCCAACCACTGCAATGATCTCCCTTCTCTTTCATCCTAAACCTTCTTCTTGGATGCATCTATCCACCATAACAGATTTCACCATCTGCAGGTACATGAATCTCCATCACACTAGAATAAAGTAACCCAAGACTATCATGCTTCCTTATCTCTATGTCTGTCTGTCTGTCTATCATTTTTTGTGGCACTGGAGATCAAACTCAGGGGTGCTCTATCTCTGAGATACATTTCCAGTCCTTTAAAATTTCTTTTTTACATTTTGAGACAAGGTCTTACTAAATTGCCTAGGTAGGAATTGAAATTGTTCTCCTCCTGCCTCTGCCTCCTCCCCTAATGCTAATATCACAAGCATATGCCATGATGACTGGCTTATTTTTATTTTTTTAATTGAGTGTCATACTTTTTTTTAAGATGCTGGGGAGTGAACTCAGGGCCTGCACATGCTTGGTAAGTGCTTTACCACTGAGCTATACTCCCAATCCTGTCCTGTCATTTTATCTGTATTTTAGCAA